CTCTACCAATTCAACCTCGTGGGGGCGAAGGACCATTACATCGGATTGATACAAACGGAAACGGTGCGGAGCTTGTCGTTCCATTCTTCAGGGACTGATTATCTGCTTTCCAAGCCGTACTACCAACCGAACCCGGTCGTCCCGGGACCGTTTGCGATCAACAGCGCATTCCACGATCCGTCCTTCACCTCCACATCTTCGGCCTGGGCGCTCGTCGTGTCAGGCTCGTCGAATATCTTCATATTCGGCGCTGGGTTCTACAGCTTCTACAACGTGCGCTTTCTCTTTGCCCCCTCCCCACCTCTTTGGGAGAAATTACTGAATCTGCTTGACAGAGCTACTCCCAAACGTGTCTCAACTCGGTCAATTGCCAGAACCAGCTGGTGAACATCGATTCCGCATCCTCTGTCAGCGTCTACTCTCTGTCGACCGTCGGGGCGGTGTTCCAGCTCAGTGTGGGTAGCGCGGGTGTGATAAACCACGCATCGAATCTGAATGGGTTTGCGGCTACTGTTACTGTCTGGAGCCCGTAAGGCGAGGGATCTATTGTCAGTGGCTATGTATCGATTAGTTAAGACAAAATTTGAATAAATACTGAGGAATACGTGAATCGACAAAGTAGTCTGACAGTGCCAGTCGCTTATGTGTTGGAGATGACTGCTGAGCAGGAGTAAGTAGACTATCCCGAGCCTACATTATCCCCACTGGAGTGTTTTCTCGTGATCTTGCACGTGCGTCTGGCGCGGTCACGATACCTGTGACCCGTTCCGTCCGACGAATCTTGAACGTGACCCAGTGCGATGTACGCGCCAATCTCAAGCAAAGTGCGCCGTGTCAGCTGCCTCTGTATATATCTGACGCCGACGCGTCAATTTAGGCCCAAGAAGCGCGCTGCGCCGCGCTGAAAGCCGAGATCGCGAGCCTCGAAGCCGAGTTGGGGTACGCGCCTCGTCATCGCGGCACGAACACTTTCTGACACGTACCATGGTACGCACATAGAGCGAGTGCAGACGCGGAAGCCATTGTCAAGAACCATATACGGCTGCTGCATCGGTACAACGAGGCGAAGGACGCGACTCAGGTGCGTCCTTGTGAAGTCCTGCGTGCCTCGCTCGATGAGTGTAACGTGTCGCGCATAGATTCTTATTGGACGGGTACGCGTGATATGACCTTTTTGTTTCCGCTGCTTTGACTAGATCTCCTGCAGCTGGCTGCTTTGAGACAGTCGACCATCAGGCAGATTCACGAGGACTTGGATCTGCGCGACAGCGACTAGGGGCTTGGCACACTTCTGAGTCTCAAACCTCTTTTTGATACGGATGTATGCGCGTTTCTCATGATTTTTGACCCCAAATATGACGCTCGATGCCCCGTCCTGTTCAGCTGACCTCTGCGATGCATTTGTCCAGACGACTAAAGAAAGACGAGAGTGAACTACACAGCCTGAGGACCCTCTCCCACATTGCTCGACGGGTACTCGGAAGGAGTGCTGGTGTCGGACTCGTTACCATCATCCCGCTCTTCGAGACGCCCCAGGTCTCGGTGTTGCATTCCGTCGTACTCGTCTTCATCGCGCTCCTGCTGGTATCCAGCTCCGTTCTCTACATCCCAGTACCCAGTGATATTGCGACCTGGTTGCTGCTGATGATAGTGAGCCTCTTCTTCGTTCTCCTTGTCCTCGTCCTCTTCGTTCTCGTCCCCGTCGCCGCCGACAAACCTCACGCTCGGCGTCTGCAGCTCCCGCGCGGTCCGGAACGACTGCCGCGACTCGAGGTCCCGGCCGAGGGTCGACTCGTACTCCATCTCGAGGATCTCGTCGTTGAGGTCGCGGCTGAGATTGGAGGATCCTGAGTCCGAGTCGCCCGTGTGCAGCTTGATCTGGCGCCGGGTCAGCTGGAACGCGTCCGCGTCCTCCATGACCATCTTCTCCGCTTTCTTCTGGTGCTCGAAGGACAAGGAGGCGGTCAAGGGCTCGTTCGGCGGGGCAACTGGAGCGCGTGAGCCTTGGGGTTGGCGGTAGACGATGCAGGGGTGTCACTACTCACTGAGGGCACCGGAGTGCGCGGTCTCGAATGTGTTCCCGGTCCAGACGATGGAGGATTCGGTGCGGTTGCGGAGACAGTATAGCATGGTGCATGAGTAGATTCGAGCGAGCACGAAAGCGAAGCCAACCCAAACTGCAATGCATCAGACAGATTTGGTGAGATAAGATGACGGCAAGTGCTGCAACCGCCGCTTACCCATGGTTTTCCGAACGTCCTTGTCCAAGGCCATGACTGTGCCGGTGATGGTAACGGCAGCGGAGAAGAGTCCAGTTTCAATCAACATCGAGAAGAATCTGCAGGTGAATCAGCGGAGGGGCAGGAAGTGCGACGTGAAAACACACTTGAAAGCTTTGTTTCTCTGTTTCAGCGGCGAGAAGGACAGAGGCACGACGAGGGCGGTGCCGATGGACAACGCGATGAGAGCCATGCTTGTATTGTTAAGTAGATTCCCAATAAGAACGAAGAGACAACTGACTAGGCAAAAACGCGCTGCAGAAGGTCACCGTTGTCGAGATTGTGGATCATCGAAAAACCATAGCCAAAGATTCCGATCAGCTAAGCCACAGTCAGCGAGAAAGGCTGGAGATGGGAGGTCAGATGGGCGCACAGTGAGGAGTAGGACGAGGAATAGGGGAAGGAAAGACGCGATGCTCTTGGTCCTTGAGAATCATTAGCGGGTGGAAGCTCCAGAACTGCGACTGCACACACATTTGCCACTGCCGCGCGATCATGAACGACTGCGAGACGGCGGTGACGACTCCGAGGCTGAGCACCAGCGGAATAAACGGCCAGTACTGCTTCCGGATCGACTGCACCTCGCCCTGCGATCGGTCTAGTCAGATTGGGCTCGAGCCTGGGAACCAGGACCGCCACTGACCCAATGCGTCGACGTGTAGAGGTAGGTGATGGCACAGCACGCGAGGGTCCCGAATATGTCGGCGATGAGGTTCACGACGATCCCGAGGCCGATGAACACGCTGTCGGTGCGCCGGGCAGCGCTCCGGAAGTAGGCAGAGACTTGGACCAGCTCGAGGGTGAAGAGAAAGATGTTGATCCAGCTGCCGACGGACAGCGGGCTGCGTGAAAAGCGGGAAAGTCAGCTTGGCAGAGATGGAACCTGGGGATGCGGTGGGATGACTGACGCTAGGGTGGTGGGGGTGAAGAATGCCGTCGCCGTCGCCGTCGCCGTACCGCCGTTGTTGCTGGAGTCTGGGAATGGATTCTGATCTGACATGTGGACTTGGTAGGGGGAGGAACAGGGAGGAAAAAATCAGAGTCGGGGGCGGGCCAGTATATATACTGAGCAGGGGCTTCTCAGACATTCGAAGAGTTGCGATCCAGCTTCCGCACCTTCGCGCTAGGAGAGCCTCAGCCGTGGACAAGAGCAGAGACACCTCCTTATTTGAATTGCCTGTCAGATAGGCCAGTGGAGACATCGGGCTGCTGTGGGCTCTGGGGGAGGACATGTCTAGTCTCCGATTTCAGACAAAGTTCAGACTTTTTTTTGCAATCGAGAGCAGCGTAAAGGAGACCCCCAACAAGAGCAACAGTTCTCATCTGCGCAAGAAAACGACGAGAAATGCAGAGGGAAAAAATCGATCATGAACTTTGTCCGACATTGAGGCGAAAGGTCAAAGCGGCTTGCAGGTGGCGGTGTGTTCCTACACGTCAATTGTGATCGACGATCACTCGAACCACTGCCAATCACAACAGCACGTAACGCGTCCGTTCATGGTCCAACTCATAGTCGACTCCGGCGGCTACTCAGAGATGTGTGCTGTGACACTCGACGTCCAATTTCCACCCGTGTCTCACGACACTCCCATGCTTTCAGAGACCGCTCGTTCACTCGTCGCCTGCCTCTCCCCTCGATTTTCCACTTGTCCAGCTCGATTTGATGGCAGAACTGTGATTTGGACAAGATGTCAAGCGAGGGTCCGGACCTGGCGGGCAGATAGGCCCGCATTTCGGTGCACATGTCTTTTGTCTCGTACAGCGGCGCGGCGCGTGTATAAATCTAGCCCATTGGTCCCCGTCCCATAACACCTTCCTCTCTCTCGTTTTCTCTTTGTCGAAACGCGATGGCTTTCACCAAAGCTCTGGCCCTGCTCGCCGCGTTCGCGGTCGTGGCTGCCGCCAGGAACGAGAAAGTGCTGCACGAGAAGAGATCGGCTGTCCCATCGGGCTTCGTCTGCGAAGGGCCCGCCCCTGCTACACACGAACTGCAACTCCGATTCGGGCTGGCGCCGCAGAACGCCGCGGGTCTCCAGGCCAAGCTGCTGGAGCTCTCGACGCCAGGGAACGCAAACTACCACCAGTGGCTGTCGAAGGAGGAGGTCGGTTTCTCTCCGCCCGTCGTAAGGATGGGTGATTGAGCCCTTGCGTTGCTGCGATAGGTGAAAACGTTCATGGGGCCCTCGGAAGCCACTGTTCAGGCCTTCAACGCGTTCGCGGCGGCGCATGGACTGAACACGACCGGCGTGTCCCCCAACGGCGACTGGATCTCGGCCACCGTGCCCGTCGCGCAGGCCAACGATCTGTTCGACGCCGACTACCAGCTGTTCTCGCACGCGCAGCTCGAAAGCCAGATCGCGCGCACGATGTCGGTGTCCCTCCCGCGCGAGATCGTCGGCGTCGTGAACGTGATCCATCCGTCCACGACGTTCGACCAGCCCCCGTCCAAGCCCGCGTCGCCGCCGTTCATCCAGGCGAATGAGAAAGTGCACAAGAGCAAAGCGCATGTTCCGGCGTCGTGCGACACGAACGACCCACACGCCATCATGACGCCTGCGTGTCTGCAGCAGATATACGGGATCCCGACGAAACGGGCTCAAGCGGGGAATAACTCGCTGTTGGCGACGGGATACCTCTTCCAGTGGGCCCAGGAAGTTGACTTGAAGGTGTGTTGGTTTCTCTGTCTGATTTTTCGACTGCCGCTGATGGATGGGTGACGGGGCCAGTTGTTCCTGGAACAGCTCCGACCGGATATCCCGTCGACGACGACATTTAACCTGCAGAACATCAATGGGGGATCAAATCCGCAGGGCGCCGGCTGGGCGGGAGAGGAAGCCAACTTGGACATGCAGTACACCGTTGGTGAGTACCAGTCCGTGTCCCTCCGTCTCACATAGGCCTCATGTGAAGCAAGGACTTGCCACCGGGGTGCCTGTGACATTCCTCTCTGTCGGAGAATTTGACTTTTTGACTGCTCTGCTCGACACCACAACGTATCTCCAGGGCGTCAGCAATCCGCCAACAGTGATGACGACATCGTATGGCATGACCGAATCAGTCATTGACATTACTGTAGTCGAGTGGGTTCTCTATTTCACGCTGGACTACATCTGATGGTCTCTGCAGCGCTCTTTGCAATGCTTACATGTCCCTTGGTGCCCGGGGTATCTCGGTCTTATTTGCTTCTGGAGATGTGGGTCTCGTTCGTTCTGGAGAAGAGCCCGCAAAGTCAACTCACTATCGCAGGGTGGAGTGCATAATAACCACGACAGCCTGGACGACTGCGACATGCCCGATCTGGCTCCGGTCTTCCCCGCGACTTGTCCATTCATAACCTCCGTAGGGGGGACCATCGGGTTCCCCGAGACGGCCGTCAACTTCACGGGCGGAGGATTCTCCACGATGTTCCCGGCGCCAGCATACCAGCAAAAGCAGGTCGCCTCCTTCCTCAAGACCGTCCCGGCCAACTTCAGCGCGTCGTTCAATCGCACCGGCCGCGGGTACCCGGACGTCGCCCTCCAGGCCGTGAACTTCCAGATCGGCATCGAGGGGGCCTTGGCGCTGAGCGGCGGGACGAGCGCGTCGTCGCCCACATTCGCGAGCATGATTGCGCTCATCAATGACCGCCTGATCGCTGCGGGAAAGCCCGTGCTCGGGTTCCTGAATCCGTTCCTGTATGCCAACTCCGGTGCATTCAATGATATCACTGTCGGGCACAACTCGGGCTCCGTCTGCCCTGCCTCGTCGGTCGGTTTCGATGCCACGACTGGCTGGGACCCGTTGAGTGAGTGTTGGGTTGGGTTGCGGGTGTGAAAATGGCAACTGACGCGCTCGAAGGTGGGATGGGCACGCCCAATTTCAAGCGCCTGCTCGCTGCAGCATTGGCCGCTTGAACTGTGTCCTGCCGCGGAACGATCCGACTTTCTGATCAAACCTAGCCATGGTCGGAGGGCTACGCTACTCACTTCTAATTTCGATATGACTGCATCGGTTCGATGAATAATATTCAGAGACTGGCTTCTAGGGTAAATGAATGTGACTGTACAATGCGGTGAGATACAAATAATGTTACGTCCATGCTAAGGTCAAATTTTGTGCGGCAGTCTACCTCGCGCTGTTCAGTTTTATGCCAAAAAGCGACACGATCTCGTAGCAGAGCACAAGAAGCAGCTGCCCGATGAGGTCCATCAGAGCCGAGTGCACCGGCAGAGCGTACATGTCCGGATCGAGTTTGCGCGCCCACAAAAAGTTGACCAGCCACCGTGCGATGAGCAGAGAGGATGCCACCTGTTGGACATTAGTGAAATGATGACAGCAGTAGGAGAATAATGCACTCACAGCAGTGCAGAAAAACACGATTGAGAACCCGACAAACATAACCGGCGGTCGTAGCCAATTCAGTCCGGCCAAGATCCCGAGGAAGATCATCTCCACAGGGATCGTGACAAGGAGCAGGACGAGCATCACGACCTTCGTCGACGGTTCTCGTCTTGTGGGGCCTGGGCCCGCGGTTGCCGGGGGAGCAAGCGAGTATGCAGCGGCGTGCAAACTGGTAGAGAGACGCGAGGCGAAGATCGAGCCGACAGCGCCGGGCAGACCGCTGATGACAACTGCGAGTAGTGCAAAACCTTCATACCGGGTAACGAACATGTCCAGCACGATGCCGGTGCCGCTGCTGATGATCATCGCTCCAAAGAGAGGCGACCAGCCCTGGGTCAGCAGCGGGGCAACATGCGAGTTCCGGCGGACGTAGAACCCACACGAGATGGCGAACAAGGCGACGATGATGGCGACGACGAACGGAATGGGTGTGTGCATGACGTAGATCAATGTCGTTGCAACAGCACCGAGGAGCAGGAGGGTGACCAGATCTCCGAGACAGGATGCGATGGGCGGCGCGATGTTATCTGATTCAGAGATCAGTTCGGTGTCGTGAGGTTTCACCGGTTGGCATCCACACACACCTGGATCCAGTCCAAGATATCTGCACCCAACGACCAGTGAGCACATAAATGACCCCAAGATCATGCTCGATAACGATGCCGCCCCCATAGCACAGCATGCGACCATAACGAATCTATGACGACTGAGTCTTTGTCGTCGGATGAGAGAAAAGCGAACGAACGTTGGCAGACCAGATGTCCGGGTGCTCTGATTCCGTGTCTGGACAGAAACTTCCGCTCCCGCAGGAGGGATGATGATGCCCAGCACAAGTGACACACCCGCAGCGATGAACGATACGACCGCCGCCTGGACCTGCAGAAGAGCGAGGTTGCCGACGATAATTTCGCGCCGGGCCTGCGGTTCATCCAGCTCTCCCACGTTGGCCGCCGTGCCGAGGCGCGCGGAGAGATTCATCTCGAGATTTCCCTTGAGGTTGAGGACGACTGGGATGATCATGATCAGTTGGTCGACCTCCAGCATGGCGTGCCAGTGCTAGCAGGCGGGTGAGCATCGTCGGGTGCACCGGTAGCGGTTGACGCGCACCGAGACATGGTCGAGCAGTTCCCCGGTGAATAAAAGCCCTACAGTGGTGAAAAGCAGCGTAGAAGCGCCCTTGAGGGGATGTCAGCTAGGAAGGCATGCGCCACGATTCCACACACCTCGATGACTATTCCTCTGATTTGAGGCCATAACCGGTCATTTTGCACGTTCTCTTTTGTTTCTGAGGTAGTATGTCCTCGGAGAAGAGCCCGGCTCCCATCATCCACTACGAGGTCCTCTTCGTCCGAGTCGGATTCTCCATTTTGGGAAGGCTCGTATTCCGCTCTCTTCGACCCATCGAAGAACTCATCCTCGCCGTCTTCATGTTTGGCACTCAGCAGAGAAAGTTCGATATCATTCGCCATATTCAATAGCGACAGTAGAAGTCCGGTGTTGGGGGCATTCGCAGTTTCCAAGAACAACGGAGGGTGGAGGTATTGAACGTGGGAAAACACGGGCTGTCAATGATCATCACAGTTTCTTCCCTTCCACTCCTCAATCGCGTTCTGCCGCGGGAATGCGAACCTGTCAGTGCTGGATTCTGCTTTTCGCTGTCGCAGGCCTCGTATCTGCGTCGTCAGGCGATCGAGCGCCCGAATTCACGAACTGCGTGTCGCGTTGTAACGCATCCCGTTGTGCCTCGGGGCACTCGCACCCCCTTTCGCTTCCTCTGCGCCTGACGCGTTGGACATGCGACGACAACTGCAAGTACTCGTGTATGCAAGACATTGCGACGCGCGATATCCGTCTCGGCGACCGCGTGCACCAGTACTACGGCAAATGGCCGTTTTGGAGGCTGTTTGGGGTCCAGGAGCCGGCGTCCGTGCTATTCTCGCTGCTCAATCTCTGGGCCCACGCGCGCGGGCTCGCGAAGCTCAGACGCCAAATCCCTGAGACCCATCCGATGAAGCCGTACTACCTCGCCTGGGCTGTGACGGGGATCAACGCCTGGGTCTGGTCTGCGGTGTTCCACACACGAGGTTGGGGGCTCTCGGCTTTGGCTCGGTTTCCGTGCTGATGCACTCCAGACAATTCCACGACGGAAAGGCTGGATTACTTCTCCGCGGCGCTGACGATCACGTACGCGTTGTATTACACCGTTGTGCGGCTGTTCCATCTGTATCCGACCCAGCGTCGAGGGAAGCTTACACTCTCGACGCCTGATACGGCCACTCCAAGAAGCCCAGCGTACAAATTTTGGTCGGCCCTCTGCCTCCTTGCATATGTGGGACACGTTTCGTACTTGACTCTCCTCCCCCGATTCGACTACACCTACAACATCGTCTTTAACACCGTCATCGGTCTCGCACATAACATCCTATGGCTCCTGTACGCGTTTCCCTCATCCCTGTCCACGGTGCGACGATTCTCGTCGCGACCGAAGACCTACCGACCGGACTTTGCGACACGAGTCGGAGTGCTGGTGCTGTGCACAACGGCGGCAACCACGCTGGAGCTATTTGACTTTGCGCCATTCCTGCGGATCATCGATGCGCATTCGCTGTGGCATCTGGCCACAGCCCCTATTGCCGTGTTTTGGTACGAGTTCTTGCTGCAAGATTCCCGGGATGAAAGTTGGAGAGATCGAGTGTAGCAGCTTTATCATCTCCCAGAATGTCGACTTGGACCACACTAGATAAATGTGCTTGTAAGTATGTACGCCGAATGCGGTGGTTATTGTGAACCAAATCGTCCATCAATTGAGCTGGAGCGCCTCTTACACGTGATTACCCCTCCTTTTCTCCTGGGCCATGATCGGTACTAGTCGTGCAGAGTACTGCTTCATAGTTGTCTGCATCGCTGCGCTCCGCCTCGTTGCACCACTCAGTATCTGTTTCCTCGCCGCCTGCCTCGCGACAGGCCATGTTCTCGTCTCTCCGGCGCTGCTCTTCATCGCATCATGCGAGAGCGTGTTCTACGCGATCTTCCTCGCCCGACGGAGACAGTTGACCAAGGTCTCCGCTATTCAGCACCACTTTGGGGGCAAGATTGACTTGAACCCCAGCCATCGCCCCCGCGCGTTCCCCCGCGGAGCCGCGCGCAGCGCCAAGTGCTGTTCGCGAAATGCGCCGCCACAATGACGGCGGAGCGGTTTGTGGAGTGGTTCGTTCCCTCGCATGACGACATCCGGCGGGAGAATGTCCGGGAGTGGCTGTTGTGGGCGCTGTTCTCCTCGACCCTGGAACATGCGTCGCCCGAGTGGGACGGGGAGATCGAGGAGTATCTGGATCTGATTGAACAGGTGCTGGGTAGGAAGCTTGCTGAAGGGAGAGGGCCTGTGAAGAGCATACGACTCTCGTTTGACGAGGTTGAGTTTGCTTATCGACCGTTGGTGTGGTATATGGCGAGTACGAGTCTGAAGATTCAGCACCTTGGATCTAATGCTGGTGCTTAGATCGTGGCGCTCGTGGATACCAGTACATCACTCATCCTTCTCAGTCTGGGATTCAAGCACTATGCCCCTTCTCGCCCCCAACACTTCGTCTTCCCCCCTCGGATCTTGTTATGGATGTTCTCTAGGCCTGGGGTCACACCTCACTATTCATATTGGTTCCGCCCCGGGCGACTCAGTCACAAGCGCGAATCGTTCGTTTTTTTGCATGGAATTGGTGTATGTACGTCCTCTTATGGCATGGCGCACGCTGAACAGTATGATAGATCGGGCTGCACCCATACCTTCCAATGCTACGAGAGATCGTCAAAGCGGACCCGTCCCGAGACATCCTCCTTGTAGAATTTCTGCCTGTCAGTATGCGCATTACTGGTCCTATGGCGTCTCGTCAATGTACCGTAGAAGCGATGAACGACATCCTTGATAGCCTCGAACTGAGGCAGGTCGTTCTCGCTGCCCATTCGTACGGGACGTTTCTCGCTGCGTACATCGTGGCCGAGCCAGCCGAAGATGGCCCTGTCGATGATCCATGCAAGGACCTCAATGACAAAGTGGTTTCGCTCGTCCTGATCGATCCGATCCCGATTCTCTTGCACCTTCCAACAGTCACCTACAACTTCCTCTACCGCTCTCCTCGGCGGGCAAACGAATGGCAGCTATGGTACTTCGCCAGCAGCGATGCCGACGTGACAAGAATGCTGAGGCGGGGATTCTTCTGGGAGGAGGGTTGTCTATGGCGCGAGGATCTGGAGCGATTCATCGGCGAGGGCAGCTCTCGCCGCCAAGTTTCCGTTGTGATAGGTGGTGCGGACCAGATCATACCCAGCGCTGCTATCAGAGAGTATCTATCCGACGGTTCAGATGATTGGGTCTCCAACGCTGGTCCCTCGGAACGATGGGCAAACAGCGATGAGACTCTGCAAGTGATCTGGTTCCCCAATCTCGACCACGCGACCGTTTTCGAGACAAAGGAACGGCGAAAAGTCCTGATGCGAGTCTTAGATCCAAAACCTCGTTTTTACGGTACTGTCACTAGCTAGATATACACGGTAGGATTATCATATATTATTGTACCTTACATTCTCCGACATCCTGATCCTCTAGAGCCCCAGCATGGCAATGACAATCGCGCCAGCTCCAAGCCCATTCTCTGCTCCTTCACAGATAAATCCGAAGCGCCCGCTGCCGACTTGAGCTATGGCCGCAGCCGCTCGTTGACCGGAGCTTTGTTCGACGTAAAGCGCTTCATGGGCCGCGACGCCTGTCAACCACATGCCGCCGGTCAACGAGAGGTTTTTTGGCAAACCAGATGCCAACTCGTGGCTTCCATTCAGAACTAATTTCTGGTTCTCGGTACCAGCCATAGCGGAGAGCTTCCATGGCAGTCCCCAGGCTTCATCGAAGAACTTGTTCAGCGACGGACGACGAATATCCTCCATCGAGTTCTTGGAAAACATCTTGAATGAACCGCCAATGACGACCGTTCCCCCGTTCTCCACATACGACACCAGTCGCACCAGCAAGCCACTGTTGTTCGGAGTGACGATTGGGGCATCCGTAATGAAGACACCTTTGATGCTGGGCAGAACGAGGAAGTCTCTGGCCTTAGCTTTGGTGCTGGCTCGTGCGACCTCGACTTTCTTCCTCAAAGCCTCCATGGTTTTGATGGGCAGTTGCGTGGATTTGTTGAGGGTGAGGTGCATGACAAATGGCTTCGAGGATCGAGAGAGCTGCTCGACTTTTCCAGTGCGGCTCTTCTCCTGACCCAGAGCAGTTGGTCCCACTCCCATGAAGTTGGAGAACAGCCGTTGCTCAGCGATGCCCTGTTCATTGACAGAGATCAGCCGGCGGACAAGGCCTGGTGGGAAGTCCTCCTGATCCTTTAAATGAGGCAAGTTCGCCTTGGAGTGAAGATAGAGACATCCCTCCCCGAATTTGCAGGATCCCATGAGAAAATACAGACAGACGTTGCGGCCCCTGCAAAATCAGTGCTCTGGAGGAATTCAAACTGGATCCACGCACTCAGAATCGGCGATGCTCCTTTCATCTGGCGCATGAGAGTAAGGGCATCCGGCACCCTTTGCACAACCGAGAAGCTTGAGATTATGGTGCTTGCATGGAATCCCGTTCCCGACATGCGCAAGCCTTTCTGCCTCCTCGTCATCTCGTTCTGCTTTCAACGCACGAAGCTCCTTGGCGAGATCTGACGAAATGATAGGACAGGGCTCATCACTAGGCAAGGGGACCTCGGCATCTTCCCAGATATTAGTCAAGTCGGGGACACCCGAGTCTCGCATGTCGATCAAGATGTCAATCTCCAAGGCAGCTTCAAAACACGAGGGTTGGAGTTCGAGCACGGTGTCCAAGTCTGGAGGTTTCATTGAGCGAAGTCTTCTGTCAGAGGTTTTTAACACACCAATCTTCGCCGCCAAAAGTTTGCTCGCGCCTTTGCGTGCCATGGCACGACGAAAGCGAGCCTTCACCATTTTTGGATCGGAAAGGAGAGCGGTCGACGCAGCACGTTCAGCCATATCAAAGCTTTTGTTTGTCAATGAGATATATTTCCTGACTACTGCACGAGTCTTGCCACTCACTCTTCGAGCTTGAGGTAGGTCGCAGCAAGGTTAGACATGTAGAGAGTTTGAGTTCCGTTCACTTCTATGGCTTCGTTGTACATCTTGGCAGCCTCCGCGTACTTTCCCTGTCTGAAAAGATCATTTCCCTGGGGAAATCGATCAGCCACACCACACCGTTTGTAGGACGGATTCAACATACCAGGTTCTTCAACCGTTCGCCCTCTTCGGCTTGTGCCTCAGCATTGTGCGCCACCGTACGATCCATATGTAATGCAATTCGTTCTTAAATCCGGAGTGAGAGTGTTGAAAGCGCGAACAGAAACAAGAATTGAGGATTTGGTGAACAAAGGACTTGCGAAATTTGCATTGTTTGAACAACACGTGATAACGTGACAGACCGCGTCAATGTCATTGTCACGTTCGCGCTTGACGAAAGCCAAGTCTGACCTCACGCGCTCATTAGCCCTCTCTACTGTAATGGGCGGCAAAGTAAGGTGTGCCGTCTGCCTTGACGACTTCACGATTTCAGAGTTCCGCTTTCTGACGTGTGGTACGTCTCCTTAACCCCCCCGCTCGGTCCCGGTAACGGCCTGACACGGTCACAGGGCACGGGCTTTGCGTCTCCTGCGCTGAGCATCCTGCCACGAAATCCACCTGTGCTGTCTGCCGTGAAACGAAAGGAGATGGACAGCGGTTCAAGGTTTTCTTCACCATGGCAGAGACGACAAACGAGGCACAGTCGGTGACGCAAAGCCTCGACATGATTGGACCGCAATCGATGGCTATGACCATTCAGAAGGGCGGAAAGAAGATCGAAAGGGTGGTTGCGTCAATTCCGGAAGATCAAATCGACGAGGGATATGTCGTGAGCCTCTCGTTGGGCGTATCGAGCACTGTATCTGACACTCCCTAGCAAGAATTGCTCACCGCCGCAAGGAACCTGGATGAGCGACTTGCACCTTTGGCATCGGAGCTGGAGCTGATGAAGAACCGGTGCATAGAACAAGCAGAGGAGATGGTGGAGCTCAGACGTCGCTTGCAAGAGCAGGAAACCAAAGCTGCTGAGGTACCACTCCTTCGGCAATCGGTCGCCGCTGCAAGAAGCGACTGGCAGGTTGCGGTACAAGAAAGGACGCAAGCTACTGCGGTTCTATCGAGGGAACGAGCTGAGAATGCTCGTCTGCAGCAGGCGGTTCAGACGCAGGTGGCTGGAGTGAGAGCCAAGGAGGAAGAAGTCGAGAAGCTGCAGGGCAAGCTTACAAGGCGGGACAAAAGGGTACGGGTGTCTTGATTCTTCTCGATGGCATGACTCAACTGCTCCTGCAGCTGGCGTTACTGGAAAAGAAGCTCAAGGTCTTGACACGCACTATGAAGCACCCTCGAACTGCCCCTGCCGAGGACCCGGACGACTCTCTTCAGATAGAGAATTCGGTAGAGGTGTGTTTCTATCGCGGCGATGCTTCTTGGTATACATAATTCTGTCTAGATTGTCCGCAAGTCCAATGATTGGATCGACAAGCGACTAGGAGGCGGCGTCCGCAAGACAGTTCCCCTTCCAAACCATCGGCCCGCTTGAATGTCCACTACCGTTCGCACTTCGCATTCTACCACGTGTTTCTCTACTAGCCCTAGCATTTCCTGAGATGAATTACCATATCCAGCCCGTAGGACGAGTTTGTTGTTGTTGACACTTTCCGCGATGTAGTCACCTCCTTCATGCCGCACGATGACCAACCCGAGGAGCCCAAACCTCGTTCAAAATGGCTCCCAATCACATTGGTAGGACCTTACGGAGCTTTTCCTTGCGTCAGTTGTCTTATATACGCAGTTTGGAGTAGGCACCATCCTCGTCGTAGCCCCAGCAGCACTGGTCTGGCGCATGAAGCGACACACGCGACTTCCTCTCAATTCCCTTGATGCACCTCCGCGTCGCACGGCCTTTGGGTCCATTCCGATAGCACTCACCCACTCCAGCCTAAAAACCGACGCACCCGCTCGTTTTGCGTTCGCCATCCCCGACGTCCCGCTTGCATCAACGAATGCTGATCTTCCTTCCACATCCTATGCATCTCCGAAGGACTGGGACGACGACGACAATTGGGGCGTCCCCCCAACAAAACTTGATCCTAACGACAAGTTCAACCCTGCGCTCCATACGGTACGCGCATTCGGCATCGCGACGGCCATTGTCGGAACACTGGCCTTTGGAGGGATTTGGGGCTTGAGGGAGTATCTGGGTGTGGATAACGTGCGCTTTCCCACTGCCGTTTTGGCTTCATTCGCTCAAAATGGCCTGGTTACCTGCAGATGGATGATCTGAGCGCCGAATTCCGGCTGGGCGTCATGAACAGGATGCCCAACCTGGCTGAAAAGATGCGCAACGCTCTTCAGTTTGGTTCCTCGAGCGAAGAACCAGATCCAGCGGCCGGTGGTGATGAGAGGTCCCCGTGGACCTGGGATGAAGCGCAGGATCGGTTGGCAGCGGCTTACGACAAGGGCGGAATAGAGGCCTGGGCCAACGTCGCGGCGCAAGAGGTCGCAGATGAGGCGAAATTAGAGATGAAGCGTCGGGAAGAACTGCAGAAACGATGATGCTTCTATCAGTTTGTGTATCAAAAGCACCACCACTCCAATGCTCTGTTACAGTTGAGAAGGCTTCTGTACGATATATTGGCCAAGTGGGTCTCGCATTGCTCCTTTGAGTTGCGCGCGAACAGCCATTTTACACCTCACACGCGACTGAGTGCACCATTTGACACGGATCGTGAAATCTCACGGAGACAACCGGACCGGCGGCTGTCTCTGTTGCGTCACTACGTCCGTCGCATCAGACTGAACAACTCACGAGTAACTTGCACCATTTTGAATCATCCCGGGAAGAAGCAAGATTTCGGGCTGTTCTCGTGCTCTCGAGATCTGCTAGCCGTCGCGTCCTGAAGGTGACATGTGCGTATCTCTGATACTCGCACCATGAGAACATGGTGATCTTATTACACCCAGTCCCCGCCGACGACTTCTTGCGCATATGCCCCCATCTCTTCGAGCGGCGTCCAATCCCCGTGTCGGCCAAGTACTGGCCTACGAGACCCTCATCTGATTCCGACTCGCGCGGGCACAGACGGACGGATCTGTCGAGGCATCCTCGCCAAAACTCTAGATTGGACGGGACTCGCGCGGGGACGGAGTCGGAACTATTTCGCGACTTGAGATAGGAGCGTTGGAAAGATAACAGCATGCCTCGACATTAGATGCACGATATGCTCTCATCATCGTCCTTCTCGCCGCATGCCCTTCTGCCAAGACGGCGCGCCGTCGCAAAGAAAGAACGCGACATAAAAGCAGACCACGGCAATCGCTTTCGACAGCTCACTTTGGGCCCTCTCCGAAGACAAGATGGCATTCAGCAAATCTCTGACCGTTCTTGCCGCGGTGGCGGTCGCAGCTGCGAAGGGCCTAACGGTGCTGCACACGCGGACGTCAGTCCCCTCGGGCTTCGTTAACCATGGGCCCGCGCCCGTCAACGATCAACTGACGCTGCGCTTCGGTCTCGCGCACACTGATGCTGCTGGGCTGCAGACCAAGCTGCAGGAGGTCTCGACGCCTGGGAACGCGAACTTCCGCCAGTGGTTGTCGATGGAAGAGGTTCGCATCGGTCGCTTTCGTAGTATGCAATTGAGATGTTGACTATGCTGCAGATCAAGACTTACATGGAGCCTTCGGCTGAGACCGTGGCGGCTTTCCAGGCTTTTGCCTCCGCCAACGGATTGAACACAAGCAGCATCTCTCCTAACGGCGACTGGTTCTCGATCACTCTTCCCGTCTCGCGCGCCAATGAATTGTTCGATGCCAACTTCGAGCTTTTCTCCCATGCAAAGCTGGACACTCAGATCGCGCGCACAATGTCTGTCTCCCTGCCTGCCGAGATTGTGGGCATCGTGGATGTGATCCACCCGTCCACCTCATTTGCCGAGCCCCGCATCCGACTTGCTCCGTCGCCGATCGAACTGAGCGGTGTGCCAGCGGATAAGCGGGCCGTTGCCAGCTCGTGCGACACGACTGTCCCGAGCGGCATCATCACTCCCACCTGTCTGCAAGAGATCTACGGCATCCCCGCAACTCGCGCCACCTCGAAGAACAACTCGCTGTTGGTCACCGGATACTCTTTCGAGTATGCCCGCAAGGCAGATCTGAAGGTGCGGTCTCGACCATTTGCCATCATTATCTTGCGCTCAGGATGTGACCCAGGCGTTTTTGAAAACCAACCGTCCTGACATCTCATCCTCGACGACATTCGCTGTCCAGAACACCGCAGGGGGTACCAACCCGCAGGGTGTGAACGATGCCGGTGGGGAAGCCGACTTGGATATCGAGTATACCGTCGGTAAGTGCGGTGCTTCTGATTGACGCGACAAGATTTCGATTCCTTACCAGGCGTGGCAACCGGGGTGCCGACTACCTTCCTTTCCGTGGGAGAACTCGACTTTTACACGGCGTTGCTCGACACGACAACGTATGTCGACGGCCTTAGCAGCCCACCGACAGTTATGACTACCTCTTATGGTCTGGATGAAACTGGCACCGATCCCTCTGTGGCAAAGTGAGCAGTTGAGTCTCTGAAACAGGCTGTTTCTGATGTGTATGGATACCTGCAGCTCGATCTGCAATGCTTTCATGGCACTCGGCGCTCGTGGCATCTCTGTTGTGTTTGCTTCCGGCGATGTGAGTCTCAGTGTCGGTGATAACAAATCACAAGTAACGAGCTTCTCAGGGCGGCGTCCGCGGCGGCCACGACGATTCCACCGTCTGCAAACAAAACACGTTTATCCCCGTTTTCCCCGCTGCCTGCCCGTACTTGACCTCCGTCGGAGCCACTCAAGGTTTCCCCGAGAAGGCCATCAACTTCACGAGCGGCGGGTTCTCGGACATCTTCCCTGCGCCGTCATACCAGACTGCGCAGATCGCGTCCTTCATCAAGACGATTCCGTCCAATTTCAAGGGTAAGTTCAACCGCACGGGCCGCGGGTTCCCGGACGTCGCAGTCCAGGGCTGGAACTTCGAAGTTGTCATCGGCGACGTGCCCCAGCTGACCGGTGGAACGAGCGCTGCCGCGCCGACGTTCGCGTCCATCATCGCGCTCATCAACGACAAGCTCCTCGCAGCAGGCAAGCCCGTGCTCGGCTTCCTGAACCCGTTCCTGTATGCCAATCCCGGCGCGTTCAACGATATCACGAAGGGGCACAACTCGGGCTTTGTGTGTCCTGCTTCTTCGGTCGCTTTCGACGCTGCAGCTGGCTGGGATCCGCTCAGTGAGTCTAGCTTTGGTTGAATCTTGATGTTACTCAACGCGACCGCAGCTGGGCTGGGAACGCCCAACTTCACGCGTCTTCTCGCCGCGGCGATGGCTTGAGAGGAATATGAATGATACGACAGCCCTGGAGTAGAGTCCATATGGAATTGAACGGGCCTGTTATGTCCCAAATACATCATGTACAAGTCCAATAGGACTATGCTGCAAAGATCAACCGGTCTTCATCGCTTAGTGCCTTGCCAGTAGTCCGGCCCGATCAGAAATCGGACTACAGAATCTCTCCATGCTTACCACAAAAGCAGCCGTCATCAGATTCTGACGCGTAGATTGCGCCTGGTCATTCCGGAGTCATTTGGAGCGGATATTCGGACTCTAGAACAGCAGAATCCAGGGGGGAAATCACTATCCCCGTACAACCACGACGATCACCACATGAACTGAAACTGGTCGTGTCTCGACTCTCATGCTCCCCTGCCACCTGACATTCTATTATATGACATCTCTGTCTCCGGATATGACCGAAGACCGCAAGTGTCCGTTGCCCAAGCCAACTTCTCTTCCCCAAAGCCTACGCTATTGTGGCCGTGCGTCCCAAGGGCGCTGCGGGCAACTATCATAGTGCTGCTCCGCACCTAATCCAAACTGACCAGGGAACGCAACAAGTACATCTGCGCAGGTACTACCGAAGCTCAGGTTCTCATCTTAGTCGGATACTGAGTTGAATGAACGTGGACTAGTGATTGTAAACTAAATCAAAGTCTTTGAACCATATATTCTGATCCTCAGGAGTCTGCCACTCCTTGCCGTGCCCGCCAAAGAACGTGCTATATCAAAAACGAAAGATTAAGGAACCTTCCAGTGCCGCAGAAAGGAGCGAGCCACAGACCTGAAGAATATCCCGATGAATCCGGCAGGACCAGCGACAGCGGCTTCCTCGATCAGAGGCAAGCTCGTAGGATATGCCTGGACCGTCACGAACGTCGTGCTCGTCGCAGTCTCTCGCGGCACGAAAGTCGTTTCGCCCGGCCCGAGAAGCATCATCCACGCTTCCGCCGGCGGTGGCGCTGCAGCATCAGACTCCTGCCGGCCCAGTAGACCGCCGACAATAGGCCCCAACGGAGGCAACAGCCCGCCGAGCGGATCTGCTGGCGTGGGCGAAGCAGACGGTGGCGGCGAGGGTTTCGGTTTCGACCCGCCAGGGACATCGCGGTAAAACACGTCGTTGCGCTGGATGACAACCTTTCCATTCACGCTTAGCACAAACACGCCGTCTTGCCTCCCTGGATTGTTCAGCTGCACTGTCTGTTGCACTGTAGTCCACGAGCCCGGCGCCCAGTGGAATGACCCCCGCCCGATCGAAAAGCCGTACGCCGCGTTGCAGTCAGATTGCGGGTCGTTGCACATGGCTGCGGTCTGCTTGTCTTTCGGAGCATACTACAGCTGTTCAAAGAGCGTTCAGCAGGAACGAAACGCACGACGCACAAGATACAGTTCCCCAGCGCCATGATCCCTCCACATCAATCGCGTACTGAAGCAATCCGTCGCAGCGTCGCCTCCCGAACACGACCTCCGCCCGCCATACAAGCCAGGCAGCTTCCCGCCCAGCACCCAGTCAAAATCACGCGGAAAGAACACACTATACTCCATTGACACAGATTCAGCATTAGCAATATCCAGCGGCTGCGCGTAGAACTCAGCACCCCCCACCGGACTTGCTTTCGGATTTGCGGAACCAGCTGGGTAGGCGAGTTGCATGACGGTACTCCGGTTGCTCCACGGCTTGTAGTACGACGGAGCGGTGGTCGGTTGGAGGATGGAGTCGAGGAGATCCGCGGTCGCGCTTGCCTCGCTTGGGATGCCTTGCACCAGATGTAGATTATGCTGACCATTCGGGAAGACGGAGATGTTGAATGGCGACAGGTCACGCATCTGAGTCGGAGCCGCCCAGGCAGATACGGCGCTCGATGGAGCAGCAGTGGTGGATGTCGATGTTGGCGAGGAAGGGGTGGTTGAGACGATGACGGTCACGACGGTCGGCAGTGTGAGAGTATCCGTTGTCACCTCGGTTTCCGTTACAGTTACAGGGCTTTGCGGTGCTTCAGTGCTTGGAGTCTGGACTTCTGAGGAGGGCGGCGGAGTTGGCTCAGGATCTGGAGGGGTGGACGGCGCGCTTGACGGTGTATCTACGGCAGTTGGCGTGGGATCTAGATCGCCCGTGATACCCGCGATGACTTGACCGGGAGCGAGGAGTAGGGAGTCGACATCGTTGAGAGCGGCGGGAGGCGAGGAATCTTGTCTCGCTGAGAGCTTGAAGTCAGGCGAGGAAGCGACAGCATCGGGGGTGTTCTCATCGGGCGGACGAACTGAGCACGCGAGCGGGACCAGGAAACCGAGGAAGAAAGCAAGAAGGAAGACAACGAGCATAGCATGGGTTCTTGAACGAATGTGGACAATAGTTGGGAATGGTAGGAGCGAGAAAGAGAGGTGGTGATTCGGTGATGCGATGATCGAAAAGTGTAGGAAGGGTCGCGCCAAGGGAATGTACAAGATATCTCATTCAATGACTAGCAATACAGATAGAACGAATATGCGGGACACACTACTGCGTGAAATCACTCCTGGTCTAGTAACCCTGCCCTGGACTCTGCTGACAACGACGGATCCGTGAAACTATGATTGCACTGCGCGCACACGAAGAACAATATCATCCGCGTTTCCTTTCGCTTCGACTGATCTTGGTAATACACGGCACTGACGGAGAGTGAGTTTCTGCACGGGGCGCTCGACTGAGCAAAGGTCCGCACTCTTCATGACCACACGCCGGACAAGGGATCGTCGAGTGTGCCTGCGTACATCGTTCGGCAAAGAAAATGGAGAGATGCACAACGCAGTACTGACAAGGGTAGGATCCGTCCCCAAATCATTCGTCACTCCGACCTGCTCTCTAGCCAACACTGTCAACTCACAGTCTGGCCCGAGTGCACCACGAACTCACTTGGTCACCGTCAGCAAGTCGTTCCGGTATACACACTTGTTCTCTCCCATCTCCTCGTAGGCGCAAATCCGACAGGCGTAGACCATGATTCTTCGCTGGGGATCGGCCTTGGGATAGAGCAGATTGTTGCATTCCGAACAGAAGTGGAGGGAGGACTAAATGGCGCTGTGTATATGCAGCGCGCGACGCTTAAATTTCACATACCATCTACTCCGTACACTGTCTGAGAAAGTGTGGGGATGGTGAGCGGTAAGAGGACAGTGAAGCGGGTGCTATCAAAATGACTGAAACCCTAACCCTATTGCGCACAAGTTCTCACTGCTCGAATTCGACAGGCTTGACAAAATTTGGCTCTCAGATGACTCGAAGTGAGTAATTCAGGCAGATTCTGAACAATCAAAGTTTTATTGGAATCAATCTCGCGGATGTTGCTCAGATCCATCATGCCATCGTAACTCAATGCTGCACGACAGTTGCTTAAGCCATGGCCGCAGCAAGGAGACTGGTAAAGTTGGGGGTCCCCAGTCCCGCTAGCAGAAGCAAATCGGATACGTCAACAGCCATACACGAGGAAAACTGAGAATGCGACTCACTCAGAGGATCCCAGCCGGTCGTAGCATCAAAACCGACGCCGGATTCAGGGCACACAAATCCAGAATTATGACCCACAGTGATATCGTTGAACGCGCCCGGATTGGCGTACAGAAACGGGTTTAGGAAGCCGAGCACGGGCTTGCCTGCAGCCACGAGCCGGTCGTTGATCAATGCGATGACGGCGGCGAACGTAGGTGACGAGGCGCTCGTTCCGCCCGTCAAGGTGGTGGTGCCGTTGTTGACGACCTGGAAGTTCCAGCCCTGAGTCGACACATCGGGGAACCCACGTCCGGTGAGGTTGAACGTGGCGTTAAAGTCGGACGGAACTGTTTTGAGGAAAGAGGCGATCTGGGCGGTCTGGTAGGCCGGCGCCGGGAAGATGTTGGAGAAACCGCCGCTCGTGAAGTTGATTGCTTTCTCTGGGAAGCCCTGAGTCGAGCCGACGGACGTCAGGAACGGACAGCCCGAGGGGAATGTCGGGGTCAATGTCGCATCGTTGCAGACACTCGAATCATCGTGACCGCCGCGCACACCGCCCTGGAAAAGTTGAGTCTGTGGTGGATAACACGATCAGAAGACTCACGTCGCCGGAAGCAAAAAGAACGGATATTCCTCGCGCCCCCAGCGCCATGTAGGCGTCGCAGATGGAGCTGCAAGATCGCTCTATGAGACTGAATCATGATATGTATGCATAAGCGACGCACTTGGCAACAGAAGGGTCAGCGTTTACTTCGTCGAGGCCGTACGATGTGGTGATGACCGAGGGAGGACTGCTGACATTGTGCAAGTAAGTCGCCGTGTCGAGGAATGCACCGAAGATGTCAAAGTTGCCGTTGGAGAGAAAAATCGTGGGGACGCCAGTGGCCACACCTGGATGGGTGTGAGAAACTGAAGTTACAGATTGTAATGAGAAAACGGATGACGAACCAATAGTGTATTGGATGTCCAAGTCAGCCTCCGGACCATCCAAATCAAGACCTTGCTCATTATCTCCATCATCGAGGGTTTGTAGACTGAACGTCGTCGACGACGGCATGTCCGGACGCAGTTGTTCCAGGAACGCCTGGAGCAGTGTGTCAGTCGAGGAAACTGCTGGCTAAGATTTCTCCACTCACCTGCAAGTCAGCCGTCTGCGCGTACTGAAAGCCATACCCCGTGACCAGCAACGAGTTATTCACTTGAGTGGCCGGTGTGGCCGGGATGGCGTACAGCTCTTGCAAGCAAGTGGGGGTGGTGATCCCATTCGGGTCCGTCGTGTTGCAAGATGCCGCGACGTCCCGCTTCAGGTTAGGGACCGGGATCTGGATCAGCGGCGGGGCAATTTTCGATGGGGGCGGCGCGAAGGCCGTCGAGGGATGAATGACATTCACGACACCGACCATCTCGCTCGGGAGGGAGACGGACATCGTGCGCGCAATCTTGCCGCTGAGGTCGGGGTGGGAGAACAGCTCGAAGTTGGCATCAAAAAGCTCGTTGGCCTTGGCCACGGGGACCGTGGCAGTGATCCACTCTCCGTAAGGTGAGATCTTGGTCGCGTTCAACCCATGAGCGGACGCGAAGGCGTTGAAAGCCGACAATGTCGACGCAGAGGGCGCCATGTAAGTCTTGATCTGCATATATTGAGTAAACCCAGCACTCAGCGCCAAAATACACGGGACGAACCTCCTCTTTTGAGAGCCATTGACGGAAGTTGGCGCTCCCTGGTGTCGAGACGTCCATCAACTTGGCCTGCAGCCCCTTGACGTCGTTGCCCGCAAGACCGAATCGCAGCTCCAGCTCGTCTGTTGCTGGCGCCGGTCCGTGGCTGACGAAACCAGCAGGAACAGTGGTGCGACTGTCGTGCAGCACCATGGCACTCTTAGCCGCCGCGACGGCAACCACAGCGAGCACTGCCAGAGCTTTGCTGAAAGCCATTCAGAAGTTGAGAGCGTTCTCGGAAGAACTGGCAACCGGAAACTTCGGCGTTGCATTTATACGCAATCTGCTACAAAGATTGAGGATTCGGCTGGAGCGAAGGCATGTGACGCACTGAGATAGTGAAGAGGATCCCCATGTTCCATCCCTGTTCCAGCGGGGATCTACGCCCGTCTGAGAGAGAACAAAGTGTCTCCCCCAGAACCTCGGTCGATATCTGCACAGAAATCATCTTTCGAACTGATGATCCTTGCTTCTTTCATCAGATTCATCTGAAGATTTTCATTCGTGCCGTAGGGTGCCGTGAAGAATGTCCTTCCCAAACCGAGATCGCGTTGGAAGCATGTGCTGTCGCGAGCCGTTGGAAAGAAATACGGTCTATCTCAGTGACACGGAACGAGGAAACAAGAGTTCAGTGCAGATCACAGCCAGAGGTCCTCTGCAACCACGCCATGCGCGGGACAATGCAGAATCGGAAACGCAACCATCTCCTTTCAGGCGGCCGGCAGAACAGATACGTTAACATCGCTTCGTGAATCCAGACATGGGAAGACTGGACCAGGCCCCCAGTGCTGTTCTGCAGGCGGTCCCATTAGCTTCATGCGGTTCTGCAGGGAAGAGGGTCATAGCAGAGAGCTGACTGATACCGTAGTAACCGCACGTCCCAGACAGCCCCCATCTTGATTCCTTTCCATTGCTTCGTTGCGTCCTGAAGATCCCCGGTAAGTTTAGGTAAGGGTCCTGGAGTAAACCGTGTCTTTAGTCATTCTTGATGTGAGTTCCCAGTCATCAATGCTTACTACCCTTGTTCATCAAAAGTCTTGGACGCCTGCTTGTGATCACATGACTGATCTGATATACTGTAGCTTCCATTTTCGGGTTGCATGTTCAACCTCCATAATCAGAGTTGAGCATGTGCTAAACATGATTTCCCTTTTGGAAAATTTTGATGTTACTTCTAGCAACCCAAAAACAAAGATTCCATCAGCTTTTGGACAGTGCGTGCTTATTTTGCGCTGACTCTGTCATCCTTAGCAGGGAGTCATGCAAGCCATTGTGCTCTGTGCTCCTCCTCCTTCCTAATGAATCTGAAAAGGGAGGAGACCCCACACCCCTGTGGGCACTTAATAAGCACATATAGTCGTAGCTGTATGGGTACTCAGTAGGTATACTCATATGTAGGGTCTCTTACATGATGATAGCCATGGTAACTGTGGTCGTTTCACATAGATTTCAATCAATTACTGCTACATCAAAACCAAATTCTCAGATGTTGCACCAATTAAACATGCCCTCATAATTTGATTCTGCACTATGGCTACTCAAGCCATCGCCGCGGCAAGGAGGCTTGTGAAATTGGGAGTTCCCAGTCCCGCTAGGAAACGGAGGCGGAATACATCAGCAGCTGCACACGAGGAACATCAGTAACCACCACTCACTGAGGGGATCCCAACCGGTTGTTGCGTCGAAGCCGACACCAGATTCGGGGCATAAGAGACCAGTGTTGTGGCCCATGGTGATATTGTTGAACGCGTCCGGATTGGCGTACAGGAACAGGTTTAGAAAACCCAGTACGGGCTTGCCCGCAGCGATGAGCCGGTCGTTGATCAGCGCAATGATCGACGCAAATGTGGGTGATGCGGCGCTCGTGCCGCCCTCCAAATTGGGGAGACCGTTGACGATAATCTGGAAGTTCCAGCCCTGGGTCGAGACGTCGGGGAACCCACGCCCGGTGAGGTTAAACGTGGCATTGAATGTTGAAGCTTGTTTGTATTAGCGACTATCACAGTATGTAGACATGACATCATAAGTAGTATTCTTAGATTACTTTGGCTCGCTCCACAATGACCTCATACCTGACCTCATTATTGCTTCATCCATTACTCATCTATGATATCATTACTCCACTATGACATCATGATATCTCTGCTCCAGACTGGTATATAAACCTAGTACCATACGCTCCATATCCTCAGCTCCTGTGTCTTACACTCGCTGAGGTATGCATTCTCCCTGACGATCTAATGACCCTTACTTATGACTTGTACCACAGACTCTGTGTCTTTAGGTACAGCTAATGTAGAGCTCCTGTGTCTTACACTCGCTGAGACTCTGTGTCTTTAGGTGATCGCTACTGGTCGTATCTCCACTGCGCGGTATTGTCTGCGACAGGTTATGGGCCCCGCCTGAACCACTAGCGGCAAATCAAGAAACATCGAACTACTCCCTTTACTAAGGCGAGTATCTTTCACTTGTTCAGCCCTTCTAGAGCGCCGTCTTTGTGCGCTCGTCCCACTTGCTGGATGTCGGTCCTCGCATTTGTGCTCTCACCCTCAAGGGGTTACGCGAGCGGCGTCAGGGAGTCATTCAGTTGGCAGACGCGCCGTTAGCTATTCCGTCCATGATTGCTCGCGCGCGTTTTACGTTACATCTTTTTATTGTACAGCGGACATACCCACCAGGCACTGGTCCTTTGGTCAATCCCACTCCTGAACCTTGCGCGAAGCGCCTAGGTGGTGTGGTAGCTCTCAACAGCTGCTGGAGGTCAATCCCTCCGCCAGGCAAAACAATCCTTCGGGGTTGACTCGCATTCCTCACAAGGGACCCTGCGGGCTGGTGACACTACGAGGATTCATGCAATGACGCTCTGCGTGTATGCATGTCTTTAAAAGGGAGAAGATGGGCGGCCAAACCCGGTGCTTGGGACGGCCTTGGGCACGTGTCCCTTGGCCAGTGACGGACTGCGAGGGCAGTAATCACCGTCGGGTACTGCCGCCGCTGACGTATATAGTTACGTTACTTTGATACAAATATGGGCACTTACTATACCGCTTTATTTCGTTATCATTCCCCGCGCGTATATGGGCATCATGGATGGGATGGGGACGCTTGGTCGTTCTCGTTTCAGAGATTTGGCACTCGGGATTTGTTTCTTGGTCTGCAGAGAATCTGGGGCTGACTTCGTCGCTCTAGTCTCCATCTCTATCACCCTGTCATCACCAGACGACCCTCCCGTTGGGGTTATCCTATTTCCTGTTGTCCGTTGGGCTCAGGGACCTTCTTACACTACCCTTCAAGACACCGATTGGGAAGACCTATACGAACTTGGTGAACACGACAACGAAGATCTATTTCACCATCAGGATAATTGGACTCCTGAACTTCGTTCCCTATTCGGTGATCCTCCCTATATCGAATTCCCCTCTCTTCATTACCAAACCGCCGACGTTATCAAGTATCTCCCCACCATGTCGGGAATCGAGAAACTCAACAACTCCATTCTGAGTGTCTTCGATGGCACCAATTGGAATACGTGGTCGGACAACTACATGAGCATCTGCATGCATCAGGGCACCTGGGGAGTGGTTAAACCCACTCATATTATGGTTAACGGCACATCTACCTCGAACCCTGGTTCTATGGAGCGTCCTGGAACGGCTGGTGACAGCCAGTATCAATGGGACGTTGCCAATGAAAAGGCACTGGGTCTTGCGCGGGTTTATATCACCCAGAATCTGCACAAGGGAATCTTTATGGACGGTCAGCGGGAGCGCACTGCGCGCAAGGTTTTTGCGAAGATGGCGACGGATTATGGCCAACCAAATGCCATCGATGCTTTCGTCGAGTACCGCCTCCTGAACACCACCACCTTCCACGGTGGTGATACCATTGAAAAGCAAATCATGGAAATGGAGACTCGTCGTCGCCAGTGTTTGGAAGGAGGAATCGAGATCCCTGACTACCTCTTCGCAACTCTAATGCTCGCCGCTTTGCCTGCTTCCAGCAGAGGTTTCGTCACCTCTTACCTGGCCAATCGTCCTATCGCTTCTCTGAACCCAGTCGATGTCAAGAACAGCGTCATAGGGAATATCAAGATCGAGAACCTCGACACGACATCGAACTCGAAGATTTCCACCGTTCCGTCCCTTGCCACCCGCTGCACTCATTGCAACAAGTCCGGTCACGTTGCGGCATCCTGCTACAAGAAGTATCCCAACCTCAAGCCGACTGGTCAATCTTCTGACAAAGGCAAGGGGAAGCAGGATGAGGGGAAGAAGAAAAAGAAGAAGGAAAAGAAGAGCGGTGATGGTACTAGCGCTGTAAAAGAAGTTGTAGCCGCTCCCGCGGTTGCAGCTGCCTCCAATGGAATGCACATTTCGTCCTATCTCATGAGTGACTCCCTCAAACACATCGATGATGGAATTTTTGTTGAAGAAATGGGAGACGACTCCAAAGTTCGTTTTCTATGGGACTCGGGTTGTACGCATCATATGACAAACACCCGATCCGATCTTCACAACATCAGACCTATCGACACCTATGTAATCGTTGGGTCAGGAGCTCGCTTCAAGAATGAAGCCGTTGGAGATATTGTGTTGCGGGGTCATACTAGTAGTGGCATGGACTACACCTTCACTCTGAAGGATGTCATCTACAACCCGCACATAAGAGGGCGTTACCTTTCTGGGTATGCGCTCGATCAGGCTGGTTACTACACCGTGGTTGGTGACAACAAGGCAATCCTAGTCACCAAGGATTGGCTCAACAAGGGAAAAGCGCATGGGGATGTCTTGATGACCTTTAAAGCAAGCAATCGCTGCTACTGGTACTACCCCGAGGAGCTCGTGGCACCATCTGTGTCTGCATCTCACGAGTCTACCGCGCTCGCTTCCCTGGAAACTACCGATCGTGAATTGTGGCATAAGCGTTTTGGTCATGCGGCTCGGAGGACCCTTACTCACTTGCCGACACAAGTTGAAGGTGTTCCACCCTTGCGACGCAATAAAGACCAGCGCGGCATGTGCGATGGATGTATGCTTGGAAAACAGCACAAGCATCCGTACCCTGCATCAGAGAAACGTGCTAGCAAACCCCTCGAGCTTATCCACACTGATTTGATGGGCCCCTGGCCTACTCAGTCGTTGGAAGGTTCACGCTACACAATTTCGTTCTACGACGATTTCTCGAGCTTTGGCATGATAGTGTTCATTAAATCAAAGGACCAAGCCTCTACTGCAATTAAAAACTTTGTTGCCCTTACAGAGCGTCAGCTTGGCACAAAAGTACTGGCCTTCCGGTCAGATCGTGGAGGCGAATATATGTCCGATGAACTCACAGCCTGGCTCAATGCACGTGGTATTATGCACCCTAAGTCCGCGCCACGCGAACCACAGCAAAATGGGAGGTCTGAACATTGGAATCGCACAGCCTACGAGAAAGCGGAATGCATGCGCCTTGATGCCGGCCTATCCAAAGGCTTCTGGCAATGTGCTATGGATGCATCTGTCCACGTTCATAATAGACAACCTATGGCACGATTGGGATGGCAAACACCTGCGGAACTGTGGCTTGGAAAGAAGCCAGACGTCTCTTATTTCCGTGTGTTTGGATGCAAGGCGTCTCTCTATGTGGATGTTGAAAAACGCCCGAAAGGGTTGGAGCATGGACGCCCCGACCACATCTTCGTTGGATACAAACGAGAGACAAAAGCTTGGAAAGTGTGGGATCCGAATCAACGCAAGATACGAATCTCTTCAAACGTCGAGTTCGATGAGCGAGTATTCCCTGCCAAGTCCAAGCTAGTCACCGGCAATGTGTCCTCTGGACCGGAGCCGTTCACACCATTCGAGGAAACCTTCCCTGACCTAATCAATAATCCTGCGCCTGCAACGCCTTATGGAAGCATACCACCTCCTGCTCTCCCACTGCCACCGGCACCCCTCGCGCAACAAGGTCCTGTCACGGGATCGCGAGAAGTACCCCTAATGCCTGGCCCGATAGACGATTGCCCGATTGCCCATCGCCGCCCTCGTCGGAATAAGCCCCGCATTATGCCAGATGGAACTACGTATCAGAGGCCTAGCAGCATTGAGTCCATGTTATCAGCTGCCCAAGCTGAGCATGACTTGCCTCAAAATGTACGGGACGTAGCAAAGAGCCCGGATGCACTCAAGTGGGAGCGCGCGATGCGCAAAGAACTGGACTCTCTCGAGGAAAACTGTACTTGGGATTTGACCAGCCTCCCACGCGGTCGAAAGACTGTCAAATGCAGATGGGTGTTTAGCAGGAAGCATGACGGTCGTTTCAAAGCACGACTTGTTGCCAAGGGATTCACTCAGGTTCATGGGTTTGACTATGATGAGACCTTCTCGCCAGTATTGCGCTACGAATCTTTGCGCATACTTATGGCTCTGGCTGCTCTCGAAGATTGGGAGATTCATGCCATGGATGTCAAAACGGCATTCCTAAACGGGGATCTGGAAGAAGAAATCTATATGGAACTTCCGGAATTACCCAAAGGTTTCTCGTCATGGCCAAAAGAAAAGGTGGCACGCCTTCGTAAATCACTCTATGGGTTGAAACAGGCGTCTTGTCAGTGGAATATCAAAATCCACAATGCCCTCCTCGAACTTGGTTTTGCTCGGACATACTCCGACGCCGGTGTCTACACATATCGCCAACAAATGGGAGATACGGTCATCATCTTGGTGCTGTATGTTGACGATATGCTCATTATGGGCAACAATCTGCCGGAGATAGCGCGTATCAAATCCTTGCTCGCGAACCGCTTCAAAATGACAGATCTCGGTCCTGCGAAGGATTTCCTTGGTCTGAACATAGTTCGTGATCGCAAAGCGCGTAAAATCTGGATCGATCAGGCTTCCTATATCGAAGGAGTTCTAGAACGTTTCCGGATGTCTTCGTGTAAGGAAGCTCGTACTCCCCTGCCTTCCGGCATCGTGCTCGAGAAGCATGATGGAGAAGTCGATGAAGACCGTCGTACCCGATACCAGCAACTGATTGGCAGCCTTCTATACGCCATGCTTGGTACTCGCCCCGACATTGCCTATGCAGTCATCCGTCTATCAAAGTTCAACAGCAACCCGTCAGAACATCATTGGAACATGGCAAAATACATACTCCGGTACCTTCAGGGCACCAAAAACTACCAACTTTGCTATGATGGTTCCACTGGCGCAGGCCTTATCGGTTATTCCGATGCTGATTGGGCAGAGAACAAAGACGACAGGCATTCAACCACGGGATATTCCTTCTTCATCGCCGGTTGTGCAGTGACCTGGGTTTCTAGACGCCAACCCACGGTCGCTTTGTCCTCAACAGAGGCCGAATACATGGCTCTGAGCGATGCTACACGCCAGATTGCCTGGATCCGCACTTTGTTGACTGAGCTCAGATATGACTTGCCATCCACGCCTCTTTGTGTTGATAACCAAGGCGCTATCTTTATGGCAGTAAATCCAGTTCATGATAGGAGGACGAAGCACATCGACATCCGCTATCACTTTGTACGAGAATCCGTCGAAGCTGGCAATGTCCAACTTTACCATGTGCCGACTGATGCGATGATCTCCGACACGCTCACAAAGTCTCTGGCATGGGTGAAGTTCCAACAACATCGGCTGTCTTTGGGTCTTCGTGATCCGACTGTTTAGTCGAGTGGGAGTGTTGAAGCTTGTTTGTATTAGCGACTATCACAGTATGTAGACATGACATCATAAGTAGTATTCTTAGATTACTTTGGCTCGCTCCACAATGACCTCATACCTGACCTCATTATTGCGTCATCCATTACTCATCTATGATATCATTACTCCACTATGACATCATGATATCTCTGCTCCAGACTGGTATATAAACCTAGTACCATACGCTCCATATCCTCAGCTCCTGTGTCTTACACTCGCTGAGACTCTGTGTCTTTAGGTGATCGCTACTGGTCGTATCTCCACTGCGCGGTATTGTCTGCGACATTGAAGTCAGACGGAACTGAGGTCGGGGTGGGAGAACAGCTCGAAGTTGGCATCGAAAAGCTCGTTGGCCTTGGCCACGGGGACCGTGATGGTGATCCATTCTCCATACGGCGAAATCTTGGTCGTGTTGAACCCATGGGCGGATGCGAAGGCATTGAAAGCCGACAATGTCGCCGCGGAGGGCGCCATGTACGCCTTAACCTGCATGTACTCAATCCACCCAGCACTTTGCGCCGAAATACACTGGACGAACCTCCTCTTTTGAGAGCCATTGACGGAAGTTGGCGCTCCCTGGTGTCGAAACGTCCATCAGCTTGGTCTGCAGTCCCTTGACATCGTTGCCCGCAAGGCCGAATCGCAGTTCCAGCTCGTGGGTCGCTGGAGCCGGACCGTGATTGACGAAACCAGCAGGGACCGCGGCCAGGCTACTGTGCAGCACCATGGCGCTTTTAGCCGCCGCGACGGCAGCCACAGCAAGCACGGTCAGAGTTTTGCTGAAAGCCATGGAAATATTAGGCGGGTAGAGGGGGAAGAAATGTGCAGGTGTAAGCAGGAAGAATGCGCGCGTAGAGAGAATGTGTGAAAACACTCAGAAGATCTGGCCCCGACCTGCAATTATTGCATCTCATTTATACTTCTTCCTTGGCAGGGTTAGAGCCACAGAGATCATAGAGAGTTCCGTTGTGCCCCATTCTTCCTCCGGCCGGGAAAGGTGCCCGTATGGGAGAGAACCCGGCATATTGATAATCGCACGTCCACGGCCTCCGTCGACAGGAGTGGTTGCTCCTGGCTTCTTCCGTCAATTCATGAAGGTCCAAGATTTCATTCGTGGTCGTACGGTGCCATGCGGCGGTGAGACGGTGAATCCCCAGCCCCGGAGTCCAACATGATTCCTCAATTTTCTATGATGTGTTTTCCATTGAGTTCCCTCTCATGGCCACCTTGGTCGTCAACGGCCTCAGCGCGATTGCTTTGTCTGGAATTTTACTCACAAGATACCTTGGTCTTCAGATCACGCCGGGGGGTAAATCCATCGGTATCTCACCTTCACTTGCAGCCAACAGCTTCTGTGCCATTTTTTTCAGTAAGGCCCCACCCGCTCACCCCGCTACTTCTGACCGGGGTTGCGACCTGAATCGCGGTTCACTCACAGGGCTACATATTTCGTGATTTGGGCGCCGACCACCAGACCTGATCGACTCCAAAGACACAGGTTTACACGTGGAAATGTCTGCACATGTACGCTGACTTCGGATGGACTGACAGACGATGAGTCAATCTGAGTGCGAGAGGCTCACTTCTCGTGGACCCTCATGTTTTGCATGATGGATCGTTGATAACAGGGGCCCGGCCGGGCTCTCGCCGTCGCTCTGCTCCCCGTTGCATCCCCCGGATGCAAAATCGCGTGTCCCCGAACGAAACGTCGAGCGCCCGGAACTTGTTTTCGTCCGACTCGAACATGCGACTGTAACTTCCAAACGGTCTCCCAAAGCGATCGGTGACAGACATGTCATAAGTTCGCGCAAAGAGACGGATAGGATCCTGCACCCGTCCCAGTCAGTATCCATGTACAGTTGCTCCGGACTCACGGACTTTCGGCCCAAGCGCAAGCGGATGGACTCAAGTTGAGCGTTCCCGATGGAGCTCCCTTGATGGCAAAGTTGATCGGCCGATCAGGCTCCGCCGGGCCCACGTCCGAAACGCTGCATCGCAATCTGGATGTTCAATGTGGCTCATGACAAGCTTCCAGCCCAGCTGGAGAGAGCTCTAGATTCGTTCCGCACACATAATTCTAACGCACTTGCAGATCAGTGCGTCTTGCGGGGTGTAGAGGACCGCTTACTCTCCGTGTCGAGAATTCCTGACACAACGAAGGGGCAGGCTGCAGGATGATCTTGAACTCTAGACCTCCAAGTTTAAACAGTCATTTAACTAGCACTCGTTGTGCGGGCGGCCTCCCATACTTGAATTTGTTGCGGATCTCAAAAGTCTATAATATTCACGTTACACTCGACGGTTACAGTCTATTCCCGCTCCACTGACACACTATCCCGGTCCATGTCCCTGAAAACTGCGCACAACATGTCAGTCCCTGGGTCCTCGAGACACCACAAACCAAACTGCACTCACACGCCCAGATCAGCACCGCGCTGAGCAGCAGCACACCCGCCAGCGCGACGAACGGCCAGATCAAATTCGGGTCGACGAACACCGGGGATATGACGAGCATGATCGCCGATGAGATGGCGTTCGTGAACAGCACCAGGCCCATCACAACCCCTTTCATATTCCGCGGGGCACTCGTGTACGCGATCTCGTATGCCGTGACGATGATGAATATCTGGCGCGCGCAGTCAGTCCGAGTCAGTCACCCAGCCGGTTCTCGAGCGCCGCACCTCGGCCAGCGCCGGCAGCGCGTACAGCGGGATCTGCACCCAGACCGAGATCGGCGAGACGCCCGTCCCGATCGTGCACGTCGACGCGTGATATCCGCACGGCGAGGTCTGGTACACTCGCCATTGGACGACCGCCCCCATGACCATCGCGGCTGCTGTGACGAGGAATCCGAAGACGATGCGGCGGATCGGCGAAAAGTTGATTCCGACGTGCCGCAAAGCGGGATAGACGAGGAAGTTGAGGAGCGGGATCGCCACCACGATGGTAAGCGCGTTGAAGTTGGACAGAAGATCGTTAGGAGCCCCATCGGTGGTCATCGACGCGCCTTGATTGGCCAATATCACGGAAACTCCGCCGTCCGCACTAAGTTCAGTACATTAGCCAAACAACTGATCGTGGATCGGATGCATACTTGCAGACTGAAGATAGGCAGGAATAAAAATAGTTTGCAAGCCTTGATGGTTCGTTTCAACTCATCCACGAATTCTGGATGTCTGTTAGAGAACTATTCATTCAACAGATAAGGACTTTACCGTCATCCCATCTGATCCGACTCGTTCTCTCGAGCTCATCAGAAGTCGCGAAAGAGGTCTGTGGGATGATCAGTTTTCTACCACGAACAGCACAAAGCTGCGACAAACCGGCTTCGCCAGATTCCAGTTATCTCCGCCTTTCAACATACCCTTCAGTCCAGCACGTTCGAAGATGGTTCTGTCGGATAGATAAATCAGCCCCATGCACTCGACGCCGCCGATGAGTGCGAGAGAAAGTCACCTAAACACCCGGAACGCATCGAGCACGACCGATCCTTGCGGAGGGAGTCGCACAAGCTTGGGATACACGATGACCAAAGTGATCGGCATGAGCATGTACAAGATGCCGGGAACCTTCGATTTCGAAGAATCAGCCTCGCGATTCAGCCTCGGAAGCAGGGCTAGTCAGCCTACCAGATAGGCGAGCCAAAATCCAACTCTCTTTTCCGCGTAGCTTCAAGATTGGGTTTGATGAGCACGCGCGGATGACAGGTGTGGTGCAGCAACCTCTGACCTTGTCGCGACGGAGAAAAAGCCGCCGATGTTGACCGACCAGTAGTATATCTAGCGAACGGTCAGAAATAAATATCACCAGTGATGATTGGAACAGGACAGACCATGAGCATGCTTTGGATGGTCTGCCATCAGAATTGAGCAAAGCAGCGAGCAAGACTCTGAATGACTCACAGCCCCCGGATCGACGATGACTTTCTCGCCAGACGGAAGGACAACGACAGACTGGGACATCACGGTCGACTGATCGACGATAATAGGCGCAATGCAAGTCTGCGAACGCGTGAGGTTACATCACAGCAACTTACGAGAACTAGGTCTGGACTGGACGGACCTTGATGCACCCAGTGCCCAGCGCGAGCAGAAGAATGGAAACGATGAACGGAGCCAACGCATGGCCAGCGGAAATGACAGCTGGGAGGGCACCTGGACCAGACGCGTTAGGTCATCAATCACGCAAGGGCCACCACGCACAGAGAACGAGCGTCACATGCGCGACCGCGCCGATGGCTGTGCCGATGCAGATTGTCTTGAAGCGGCCCCATCGCGTGTCTGCGAGGATCCCGCCAACAATGGGGAGCGTGTACGCGAGGAACGTAAACATCTGGGACAGCCCGGTCGCTGCGACGAGGCCCAGGCCCAGGGCGCCTATTCATACGCAAGTGAGCGGGGGCAGAGATGGCCTCATTGTAGCGCGGGGCGCACCGGCAGTCTCCTGTGTCCCTCTAGGTGGGGCGCCGGCTCCGTTGCCGCCTTCGGGAAGTGGCCGTTGGATGAAGTTGGCGAAGACTCCCGCGCATCCGTAGTACGAAGCCCGTTCCGCGAACTCTACCAGGCAGATCAGGTACGCTGCCCACGGGATCCGGCCAGCCACGCGGCGGAGTGTATCTGTGCAGGCAGAGAGAGTTAGAGCTGGTCACGCGTGGGGGCATGCATCGCACACACTCTGCTCCTCGGCAGTGGGCAGACGCGCCATCGCCTCTGACGAATTCGCGAATGGGAGGTCGCGTATTTTGGCCAGCGAGTCCGACGAGGCTTTCTCACATGTGGTCGACATCGCGGCGAATCTGGGGAAGGAGAAGGAAGAGAAGAAGAAGCTGGTCAGCATCGGTGCAAGGCAGCCACGGACCAGCCACGTACCTGGCTGAGTGTATGCACCGGAAGGAGCCCGAGAAGGAGCGGGTATGTGTGTGCACCACCCCGCGCAAGCAAGCTTCTTATATGTACGCGGGTCGATCCCCAGAAAATCCTCCCCGAGCGGTGCCACGCCGTCACTCGTAACACACCACATATGAGCACACAAGGTCAAGGCCAGGAACATTAAACGTCGGAGGAGATACAGGGAGATACAGCCCCGCCCCACATGGTAAGCTCGCCATCGGACCCACTAGATGCACGCCCCGGATGGGAGACAAAGGAGTTGTGTTCGCTCGCTGATCCCGCTAGTGTGGGACATAGTGCGTGTTGCGCGAATAAGTCCCTCAGGTACCCCGGCCGAACACGCAACGCTTTACATAACATACTTGGCGCGCCGGGGCCACCAGATGCATGGGGCTGCGCTGGAATCGCATCGAGGCGGTCAGCCATTGAGTCGTGCTGTCTGCGGCGTGCGCGGTGATCTCGATAGCGCGCGACGGGAGGCAGACAAAGGACACAATTATTCGGGGGGACGGTTCAAGAAGCTTGCGACGTGAATGCGTCAATGGAGCGCCATGGGGACTGGATACCCGTTGGAGCACTTGAGAGTCTTGTCCCTCGGGATGAGCCGGCCCGCCCGCCGGACCCCCCGGACATCCGGCAAAGAAGACCAGCCGTTTCAGCCATGCTCAACTTCAAAGCTTCCCAACCTCGGTGCCTTGAATTGAACCGAGTTACCTTGTAGTACCGCCACGGGCGTCCTCGGGGCTCACTGAATTAGTAAAAATTTTGTTACCTCTTCTTCCGCGCCAGATTCCGCGACCTGTGGACTCGGAAGGCAGTGTTGCCGCCACATCCGGCCTCATTTTTTCTTTCTTCTTTTTTTGAATTGTTACGACTTGGCGCGCGTCTTCAGCAGCATATGTGTCTGCAACAAAAATATGTAATGTTCTGATTTCTGAACAACACACCATCGACAGGCTGCGACTGACGAGACAGCGGGACGCGTGTACAACAAGGTTGAACAGCTGACTTGGGCAGCAGGACAGTGGGTGCTAATGGAATGCAGATTCGTGAGCCGATACAGATACATACAGTATATGTGCGGATGTGTATATATTGTCCATCCGTGCCTAGATACAGTAGGTCTAGTAGTAATCATTCAGTGGTCGTAAATCCTGGATGCGTTGTGGGATCGGCGCGTCAGCAGCCATCGTAGAGACTGTTTCGTGGGAAGGTGTATCCGGCTTGCGCCCAGGTCGTGAGATTCGCATTGGAGTATGCAGCAATGTGGCTGCAACGCGCTGTCAGCGGAAGCTCCTCGACAGCCAGCCAACCAGCAAGCACCCACCTCGCGATGTAATCCGCCGTCGGGTATTTTGGCGGGTCGCACGTCAGCCCATCTTGGGTGCCCTCCAGCTGGTACACCCGCACATAGTCGATGAACATCTTGGCGGGGAACACCATATGCAGGAAGTCCTGTCCCTGGAACGACGGGGACATCCCCAGATTGAAAATCATGTACTGCAAACGGTCATCAGTGGCTGGCAGATGCGAGATGCGCCTCGACGTGCCATTGGTTCTTCTGGGATCAGCCGCGCAGAGACGTTCGCACCGCTGTCTGCACCAACAGAAGCAGCCGTCATCGTCCATCGCTTCTCTCCAGTCGTCAGCCAGTTAAGGTATCCACTCGATCGCTTCGCCGGATTCGAGTACCACTCGAGTCCGTAAGTCTGGTAAGCGTTCCCGCCATAATACTGCGCGTCAATGTACGTCAACGCCGACACTGTCTGCTGGTACTGGTTCCCGTGGTAGTTGTTGAACTGCGTCATGCTGGAGTTGACGATGGGCGTGGCCTGGCTCGAGTTGTCGAACAGGCGGTTGAGGTTGTACGGCGCGACTTGGAAGCTCTGCGACGCCTGCCCCTGGAAGTACGGCGCACTGCCAAGGATCTCAATCTGCGCCTCGAGCAGGTCAATCTCCGGCACGCCTCTGCCCTTGGTAACAGCAGGGCCCGGGTGGTCAGAGCCTGGGCAGGTGCATGCTGATAGCCGCTGCCCAGGAAGGAAACTCAGATGCGAGTCGAACGACGCAGAGGGCTGGTTGTCCTTGGTCGTCTGATTCGGGAACGTGCCCGTATCGCATGAGTCGTAGCTGTATGGCCACATTCCCTCGGTTGTTGCGCCATAGCCAGCGCGGCCGAGATTCCCCATGAGCCACGCACCGGGCCAGAAACCTGGCTGATCCGGAGCACCGGGAAGGCTGAGCGAGACCTCGACATAGGCTGTGGTCATGCAGATCTTGTTCCAGGATTGGAGCATCCCTTGTAAGGTATCAGGACCCACGCGCATGATGCAAAGATGGTAAATGGGTCACCGCTCATAAAGTTCAGCCCATGGTTGTCGGTGTAGTTCACCTCGCTCATCGTGATCACCAGCTTGCCGTCCTGCGTGGTAATGGCCTGTGGAGCGCATTGGAACACGATCACAAGTGGGCATATGCCACTACGCACCGCCGGGTCGTACCACTCCAGATCTCCCGTAGGCCAATAATGGAAATCGACCGCTGCAGGCGACTCAGCTGAGATCAGATAAGCATAGTGGAGGCAGCTCACCTTCCCAGTAGGGATCGTCGCCGGGGAAGAACGTCCGCCCATCAGTATTGAATTCGTCGCTGAACGCGAGTCTGTACTTTTTCCCGTCCGTCCCTGTATGCGTATAGGCGTTGGAAGGCGTTTCCGAGTCGATCAAGCTCGGGAACTTGGTAAGTTCGGGAACCTGCCCCGACGCGTTGATGCCCCCAATGTTGTAGCCCACGAATTTCCGTGGTGGGTGGCCAAAGTAGTATATCAGGGGGAACCCTGCAAAGAGGGTCACGAGCCCACCAAACAGCACGAACAGCGCTGTCACAGTGGCCCAGCCGCGCGCGGAAAAGAAGTACAGCTCGTGCTCCATCCGCGCATCGGCCACGGGATCGGGGTTGTGCAGCGCATCGTCGAGGTCCAGGTTCTTCTCGAAACGCGTGTTCACGGTCGTCGTGCGCGTGAGATTCGGGCGGACCGTGGACGGCGCCTTGCGCAGACGCGTCCCCTCCCCGGGATTGCTCCGGTTGATCTCGGGGTCGAACTAACGCAAGGTGAGCGAAGGATGCGCGGGGGAACGCGTTGCGAGCGCGCGCAGTGCACACACGCACCGAATACGGCCCGAAATCTGCCCCGATGGATCCCGACGCTACGCCGCGCACGAGCGCCGCCCCCGCCCTCCCCGTGCCCCGGGCTTGCGCCGGTCGTTCTGCATCGCTGAGTGCGACTCCGAAGCCTGTGGGTGCACGTGATGATGCTGGCGTGCGTCGAGTGCGACTCCGCGCGGGGGGACTGCCGGGGCTTTGTGGTGGCGAGCCCAAGGGAACGGCGGCGTATTGGAGACTCGGCTCGGGGGTCGTTACGCGTGGAGGGGGTTTCCGGGTGATCTTAGACTTGTACGAGGACATGGAGCCAGAGAAACAGCTACGGGGTCCAAAGGCGGAAAAACCAAACCTCGTGGTCGTGATGGGTTTGCTCACACGTGCTCCCACGCGCTGATGACGCGGACATGGACTGGACTTTAAATCCAGCAGCTTTCCTTTTTGTCTTCGGCGCAATATGAGTGCACACTGTGCGTAGGCCAACATCCTGCACCTCTGCCGACTCTGAACACGAGAGTGCGCTCTCAGGGCATTCTCAACTTGAATTCACCCATGGATCATGGACTCCACTTCACATCTCGTCACCATATCCCCATGAAGGTCCTTCAGCTGTACAAGCCTCCTGCGAGACCTCGAAGGAGTATTTCCTGAAGAATAATCGCGCCCTCGAGGGAGGAAAGCCGAATACAATAGGATCAGAAGCAAAGGGCAAGGTCCATCTGACAGGCCGCACTCAACAGCAATGGCACAAAAGTGTTATTCTCGTCTGAAACCCGAATACATTGTTCATTATCATGATGGTACAGCTACAACTCAAGCGGCCAACGCGGCTGCCAGCAGATTGGAGAAAATGGGTGTTCCCAGTCCAGCTGTGAGGTCATCAGTCTCCGAAATCGATCGGCTAAGCAGCTTTCACTCACTCAGCGGGTCCCAGCCAGTCGTGGCGTCAAATGCAACCGAGGCAGCAGGGCATACGAAGCCCGAGTTGTGGCCAGTCGTGATATCCGTGAACGCGCCGGGGTTGGCATACAGGAAAGGGTTCAGGAATCCGAGCACGGGTTTGCCTGCGGCGATGAGGCGGTCGTTGATCAGCGCGATGATGCCAGCGAACGTCGGGGACGACGCGCTGGTTCCGCCGATCAGGTTCGCCACACCCCCGATGATCACCTCGAAGTTCCAGCCCTGGAGCGCAACGTCAGGGTATCCACGCCCGGTGCGGGTGAAGGTGCCCTTGAAAGTCGACGGGACAGTCTTCAGGAAGGTGGCCACTTGCGTGGTCTGGTACGATGGGGCGGTGAAGACGCTCGAGAATCCACCGCCGGTAAAGTTGATCGCTTTCTCGGGGATACCTTGCGTCGAGCCGACGGACGTCAGGAACGGACACGCCGCCGGGAACACTGGCATGAAGCGGTTGTTGTTGCAGACGCTGGTCGTGTCGTGGTTGCCTCGCACACCGCCCTGACACAATCAGAATCGAGAAGAGCACTCAAAATGAGCACTCACATCACCGGATGCAAAGATGACAGAGATTCCGCGGGTGCCGAGTGCCATATAACCATTGCAGATTCGTCTGATTATGACTCCTCAGTCAGATTGCACTACACAGCTGCCATGAAACAACTCACGTTGCCAACGAGCTGCCGAACGAGGATTCAGTGGACCCGTACGATGTGGTCATGACCGTGGGAGGGCTGGCGACACCGTCAAGGAAGGTTGTGGTATCGAGCAGCGCCGTCGAGAAGTCGGCGTTTCCGACAGACAAGAAGGTCGCAGGGACGCCGGTAGCGATACCTGGCCTCAGGTGAGCATGAATCGAGGATAAGAACAACTCGAGACTCACCGACAGTGTACTCGATATCCAGATCGGCTTCGTCACCAGCCTCCCCGGAGCCCTGCGGGTTGGATCCTCCATCAAGAGTCTGGAGTTTGAACGTCGTCGAGGAAGAGATGTCCGTTCGCAGGGTCTTCAAGAACGACTGGCAGAGTATCAGCAATCAAGAGCATGGACGTAGCGGTCGCTCATTCTCACCTGCAAATCCGCGGTTTCTGCGAACTGATCGACGTATCCCGTGATGAGTATCGAGCTGTTCTTCTGCGTGGCGGGAGTCGCGGGGATGCCGTACAGAGCCTGCAGGCACGCCGGGGTGATGACCCCGGTGGCGACATTCGTGTTGCACGACGCCGGGGCGGCCCGCTTCGCCTGGGGCACGTTCATCTGGATCGGCGACGGCGCGAGTCTGGGCTGGGGCTCGACGAACGCCGTCGAGGGGTGGATGACATCCACCACGCCGACCATCTCGCTCGGGAGCGACACGGACATCGTGCGCGTGATCTTCTCGGTCAGCTGGGGATGAGAGAAGAGCTCGAAGTTGGCGTTGAAGAGGTCGTTGGCGTGCGAGACGGGGAGCGTCGCGGTCACCCAGTCGCCGTTGGGTGAGATCGCCGTCGTCTTCAGTCCGTTCGCCGTGGCGAAGGCATTGAACGCAGCAACAGTTGCAGCAGATGGCTCCATGAAGGACTTGACCTAGGCAATCCAGTCAGCGCTCCAGATATTCAAACCATTGACGGCGGTAGCGAACCTCTTCCATCGTCAGCCACTGGCGGAAGTTCTCGTTCCCTGGCGTCGAGAGCTCCATAAGCTTGGCCTGGAGGCCAGCAGCGTTGTTGGGAGCCAGACCGAAACGCAGCTCCAGCTGGTCAGCAGCGGGGGCAGGTCCATGGCTGACGAATCCGGCAGGGATGGAGGTCCTGCTCTCGTGCAGTACAGTCAGTCCCTTGGCAGCCGCCGCCGCAATCGCAACAAGGATGGTCAACGCTTGGGTGAAAGCCATCTAGAGAGTGCACGCGTCCAGAGAGGCCCCGGTAGAGCTGCTGGGATGCACCGTTCGTACCACGGCTTATTATAGGTGGCACACGAGCTGCTGACCCTCGTGAGGCACAGATGGCGACATGCGAGTGAGAGAGCGTCCGCAGCGATTACCCAAGCTATACGTGGGTAAGAGAATCCTAACGCACGCCTTCCTTATCAGCGCTTCGCCCACGGCATGGACAAGACTCACTGGTTATCGCATGGCTGTGGCTTCTCTCAGCGCGTTGGAAGCACAGCTCGGCCTGGGAGCATCTGATCGTGTGAGTCGGGAAACAGCCTTCCGTACCCGGGAGCGCTAGCGGGCCTAGGTGACCTCATGGTGCGTGCCAACTCTGTATGGACACTGGGAAGAGAGCGAGTTGGGATGCGGCGTAATCCGGGAATTTGATTTCCCACGCTTGCTTAACTCCACGATGATCGATGAACCTTTGCTTATCGATTATATTCTTATCATCACTTGTACTGAGAGGCCACTTGGAAGTCAAAATTCTGAGTTTGAGAGCCTACTTATTGGGAGCAAATTCGGAGCTGAAGGATTGAGCCTGCTATAGCCTGTTTATCGATCGGAGCAGGCAATTGAAATCAGCCCGACGGCGAGGACGACGATCTATCTGGCTATTTATAAAGCTGGAGAAGGGCGAAATTCTGACATCTGGATTCTGAACGCAGATCCCCGCACATGAATTGACTCACTGCATCAACGGCAGCTTTCCGAAGTATCGAAGTCTGACTTCGATTTCCCCGATCATCAACGTATCGCGGTGTTCCTCAACTTCAGAGTCTCTCAGCCCGTTGAATATTGGGGATTTTCCCAGGCTCACAGAGTACGTCGCATTTACGCTAGCAGAAAAGGACGGTTATTGTAGGCCATTGTTTGCAAGTGAGTGCTCCCTCGATCAAAGTAGAGATCGTCGTTTACTGTATCTTATCGGGCTACTAGCATCAATCATGATCGGGCTTGTCCGGCCCGCGACTCTCTCTCCAACTGTCACCGACGCTTCGAGGCACTAAGACACCAAGGGCTTCCATGCTCTGAATAAGCGCTCAAATTTCGAGCTGGATGTCGAAAATAGAGGTCATATCTTCCGCCTCGTCTGGGACAGGTGGGTCGACCTTCATGGTACCAGATGCGCGGTACTTGCCAACAGATCAGTCAGCGACACGCATTTTCTAATCATGCGTTCTGCGATTGCATGCGCACTTATCAGAGGGACCTCTCGGGATCTACATAAACGGGTTATATTCCCCGTGTAGTATGGGTTCGAGAGCAGGAAGGGTATCGCACTTGTCAAGTGTGTGTGTGTGTGTTCATTCTGGAGCTGAAGGAGGACCCAGGTTAGACTGGGAGACAGAGGGACGATGAACTCGGGCACGTAAACTGGGAAGGCTCGCTTTGCCCCGGGCACCTCCCAACACCTGACCTGCGGCGAACATCCTACCTTGCTCTTCGTTTGATGGAAGAAGAGCTGATGGGCTGCTCCCAGATAAGGTATCGACGGAAGCGCTGCTCAGCGCAGGGTCGATAGGTGACTACACATTGCTGACTGGTCCCACCTCATTCAGTCGCAAAGAACCTGCCTGGAACATTCTGCCCCGTATCCCTGGGCACATGTCCTGCGCTTGAGCCAAGAGCGCACGCGTATATATTCTACCCAACGAGCTCGATGGAGCTCTAACCGGTTCTCTCGACGCACGGACCTTCCTTATGGCGCTCCGCCTCGCTCTGAAGACGCTTCTCGTCGTGCTCGCCGCCGCGGGTGCCGTCAATGCGATGGTCCTGCACGAGCGCAGGACGATCATCCCGTCTGGCTTCGTGCGCCACGGTCCGGCTCCACCCTCGCACGCGCTGGAATTGCGTTTCGGACTTGCGCCGAACGATGCCGCTGGACTGGAAGCCAAGTTGACGGACATTGCCACGCCCGGAAGCGCCCGATTCCGCCAGTGGCTCTCGAAGGAAGAGGTGCGTTTATCTGCGCCGGCAAAAGGTGAAATCCTGAGCATTCGCTTTGATATCTAGGTTAGAGTGCACATGGCGCCGTCGGCGGCGACTGTGTCAGCATTCATGGCGTTTGCTTCTGCGCATGGACTAAACACAACGCATATTTCTCCCAACGAGGACTGGGTCTCGGCCACCGTCTCTGTTGCCACGGCCAACAAGCTCTTCAACGCGACTTTCGAGCTGTTCTCGCACCCCAGCCTCAGCGGCAAGATCGCGCGCACGATGTCTGTTTCTCTTCCAAGCGAGATGGTGGGCGTCGTGAATGTCATCCATCCTACGACAGCATTCGCCCTGCCCCCAGCGACTTCCAGATCTGTGCGGCCACCGATGGTCCAGATGGACGTGCGCAAGGGCAAGTCGCACGTCGCAGCTTCGTGCAACACCAGCAACTCTAGCGGCATTATCACCCCCCAGTGCTTGCTCGACATCTATGGTATCCCGGCGTCCCCGGCGACGCAGGCCAACAACTCGCTGACCGTCACGGGGTATGGCTTCCAGTGGGCTCAGAAAGCGAATTTGAAAGCGAGTGGTTCGTTGGGTGTGAATCTGCGTCTCATCTGCTGACATGGGTCCCACTTCTAGGCCTTCTTGCAAGAGATGCGGCCAGATATGCCGCTGACCACAGACTTTGCACTGCAGACGCTGGATGGAGGGGATAACCCACAGGGTATCTTCCTGGGCGGTGGAGGCGGTCTTGAAGCGGAGTTGGACATGCAGTATGCAATAGGCGAGTGTATGGCCAATGCGGCCTTTACAGTCCATCACACGAGCTGATACTGGAAACAGGTGTGGCTAATGGGGTTCCCACCGCTTTTCTGTCTGTGGGAGGGTATGATTTCCTTGGTGCATTGCTCGACACAGCGAATTTTGTCGATGGTGCCAGCACTCCACCCACGGTGCTCAGTACTTCGTACGGCGTGGATGAATCGAGCACAGACCGCTCCATGGCCAGGTGCGTGGATTCGTACGCTTGGAGCCCTCAATCTGGAACTGAACCTCTCTGCAGCGCCATCTGCAACACGTACATGGCACTCAGCGCGCGGGGCGTCTCTGTCATCTTTGCTTCAGGCGATGTACAAAAGTCCTCTTGCAGTTCTTGGGAATATCCTAAGCTGATCCTCCTAGGGCGGTGTTCGTGGCGGTCACGATGACCCCAGCCAGTGTGATGTCAATAAGTTTGCCGCCACATTCCCGTCCGGGTGCCCATTCGTCACCTCTGTCGGTGCAACACAAGGTTTCCCCGAGAAATCGAGCAACTTCACATCCGGTGGCTTCTCCGACATCTTCGCTGCGCCTGGGTACCAATCGGCTCACGTCAAGTCCTTCCTCAAGACCGTCCCATCCGACTTCAAGGGCACCTTCAACCACAGGGGGCGCGGGTTCCCGGATGTGTCCGTCCAGGGCGTCAATTTCCAGATCGTGCAGACCGGCGGCACTACGTTCACGGGTGGCACCAGCGCGGCCGCGCCCACCTTCGCGGCCATGATCGCGCTCATCAACGACCGCCTCCTCGCGGCGGGCAAGCCCGTGCTCGGGTTCCTGAACCCGTTCCTTTACGCCCACCCCGGGGTCTTCAGTGACATCACCGTCGGGCACAACTCGGGCTTCGTTTGCCCCGAGACGTCTGTCGCTTTCGATGCTGCGCGTGGTTGGGACCCGTTGAGTGAGTTGGTTGCCGAGGATGTGCGGGCGTGTGTGCTGACGCGATCACAGCTGGACTAGGCACGCCCAACTTCCACCGCCTACTCCGGGCTGCCATGGACTCCTGAGCGTGGGATGTGCTCATCCCCGGCACCTTTCGGTCAAGGTCTTACAGCGCCTATCTGCAGCAAAGCGGGGCTTTAGTCATTCGGGATGTATATTCTCTGATCCAGTCATCCATGCTTACAGTTATATGATCTGGACTGGTTCTAAATCAATTTCAAATGGTCACGCTGCTCTCGTTTTCCATGGCGTAGTCCGACAATCAGATATGCGGACGGGTCCATCAGATAAGAAGGTTCAGAACATGTATCAGATTACTTCGGTTGAAATTGACAGGCACACAGCGCGAGCCAAAAAAGCAGGGAGATTTTACCGGTCGCATCGATTCAATGACGAAATCGGACGGGCCAACCTGACATATTCCCGGCAGCAGCAGCACTGGACTCGACAACTGCGTCGCAATCGCCTCCAGACTCTCGCCTCCAGAAGCGAGAGCGACGGCCAGCAATTCGTCCGTTGACCAATTGGGAACAGGCTCAGATCACGAAAGTGTAAGTGTTGATGACGGATTTATGTCAGGAGTGAACATCACGAATGACTAAACCACAGTTCACTGCGCCTCGGCTGTTCCTCATTGGGACCGGGGTCGGTAATCTATCTGCCTACCTATCGGCCTCCCAGGGCCTTACCTACAACTACCCGAACTCACCATGACGCACCAAAGCAATCGAAAGGATGGGTGAGGACTGGGGACCTGCGGAGGGCAGGGTTCTCTGCTCTTCGACTCTCTGACCTACCACGAGCATGGAATTGATTGCTCCGCCAGCAAAGCAGCCTTAGAGGCCTTGGCCTAGGGATAACCCGACTGGAGGACCGAAGCGATGCTCAACGGTACATATTCTACCGGCGGCCTGAAACGAGATGGTTCCATTTTCTATTCCGTACCCTTCGTGA